GTTATTGTCATTTCAACTCCTAAATGTCATGGGAATAAATATTTTTATGTAGTTTATGTTTGATTTATTAGTTCATTGTTATTCATGCATTTTTAAAAATAAAAACCAAATTAACAATTTAGTGACATTTTTTGAGGACCCCCAAGATAACTCTCGCAGACCCCTGGGGGTCCTGGAACCCCAGTTTGAGAACCTCTGATCTAAAGACATCAAGCAGGAACATAAATGTGTCTTTAAACAGACAGACTAACCATTCTGCCATGTGAGTTACAAAGAGACTTCATGAGGACAGAGCTTCAGGAGGCAGGAGCATCGAGCAGAGATTGTAGCCAGGATAAGTGGCTTCRACCTAGCATTAGCAACGTAGCGCTAGGCTAACCCCACACCCAAGAGTTTCCCACAAACATGCTAACATGAAACGAGCAGCTCACCCTCTGGTTCTGAATCACTTTCCGTCATGGAGCCGTAGTTGGCCATCAGGGAGCCGAGAGCTGAGCTCATGTGTTTAGGGGCCACCACGACTCCAGCCATCTTGGATTCTGGAGCGTGGTCCTCTTTGTCTGAGTCTAGGAGCACATTGGAAACAAGCAGCGGTGCATAACTTTGATTTTTATTCTAAAAGTCAGACATCAGAGTAACAGAAACAAGACTTGTCTCACCGTGGTCACTGCTGGCCAGTGCACCCAGTGGATCYCCTTTTCTAGAGGGAGGGTTGAAGGGTTTGGGTGTCTCTGTAGAGCTGTGGTCRGCTGGGTTGGATCCTTGTGGGCGTCGCCCTCGGAACCCTCTGTTACCCCACCCTCGACCTCTGCCTCTGCCCCTGCCCCTCATTCGTCTGGTAGTAAAAACATTCTCAGGTTAAATGGTTCTGTGCGCTCTTGCTGGGTGTTCCTGGTCTAAAGGGGTCAGAACTGATCCAAACTGGACCAGAGACTTACCCAAACTGAGCCGTCTCAAGAACACCTCCCGYCTGCTCCCGCACCTCCAGCACTCTCCTCTTCTTCTCAATRTTCTGAAGCGTTGGATAGTTCCTGAAAAAAACAAACCCTGTCAGTCAGATTCAGACGACTGTGATGGAGTTATAAAATGATTATCAGTGCTTTTATTTTGAAGTAAATACACATTAGCTCCCACCTCACAAGCTAATATACAGCGGGTAAAATAAGTATTGAACACGTCACCATTTTTCTCAGTAAATATTTTACTAGAGGTGCTAATG